GTCATAACTATGTACATCAGAATTTATGAATTAGATCTATTTCTTTTCAAAAAACCAAGATTACATGAGAATGAACGACATTAAAAAGGTCCTTTGCTGTTTTGACACTATAACATTCATCCCATGTGATGGAAAAATCTTTCATCACAAGGGATGCAAAACGGAGGATCCTAAACTTTCAACAGGTATTCATGAGTATATCTACAGTGGGCAATACGAAATCGTCTTAAAATGACCTCTTCAAATCTGGACAGACAACCCAAATACGTGTACCCGATACTTGGTTTGAATTTATTGATACCTACTTGGGTGTCCAACGTCTTTTGCATTAGATAACGTATATACGATCTAATCATATCTTTATAATCAGGGTATGGAATATGAAGTTACCGAGTGCTTCTTTATCGGCAAAATCAGCCCTTGTGTTACCAGAAATTACAACATGACGGGCCAGCCAACAGAAGACGGTGTGGAATTCGCCAATAGCAAGATCATTATATAACTCGATTATTTACTCGAAGATATATTGTTTATATTTAGGGTGTGTATTCTCAACACAAAGTGCACATGTAACAGACAATGTGCAAGTATTCACACCATGTTCGTACATTTGGCATTTAAAACACCACAGAGGATTGGGGGTGTACACATTGCAGTAACCTGCCCTGATTGATTTTGGCGGATTCGGCGCAGAAAAAGAAAAAAAGAGAAGTGTTAGTTGGCACAGTCTCATTATTTTTCCGGGTTGAGAAGATCTTTACATCTACCACTCCCTGATCGTTCATTTCTAATACAATGTCAATCTCCGTCATATCTTCGAACAGACGATTTCGATCTCTTACGATACCGCTGATGGTGTTCAGTGAGTGAGTGAGTTAAATGTATCGTCGCATCGGCAATATTTCAGCCATATCGTGACGAGAACAATTAATTTTATACATAGTAAGTAATGGTAAATTGCTAAAACCTGTCAACGAAGGACAGTAAAGTAACTAGATTATCACAGATTCGAATTTAAAACTAGTAACTAAATCTAAAACAGTTTAACTATATATGACAATACAAGGTAAATACAGGCTATATTATTGCCGACAAGTGAAGGTAGATCACCATACTAGGGACCATAGGGACTTACAGTACATTTGCATGGATCCTAGCTGGATTTACACCATCCCTTCAGCTTTTAGCAATTTTAGATAATCTAGCCAGAAATAAAACGAACATATATTCTACGATTAAAATGGTAGTAGGTTTACATTTACTTTGAATGTTTTGGGACTTACGTACCATCTCAGGAGGGCAAAAATTTTACAGTACTTTAACTGATGGTGTTCAGAGTTCTATGTGCAGATACCATAGCCGGAAGTCCAACAAACATGTCTGTGGACAGCAGGTTGGTTGCTTGCTGTTTTCCATAACATTCAAGTAATAGAAATCCTGAACGCAAGCGTTTCACGCCTTTAATGTCTTCTGCTATTCCGTGGACACACTTAGATAGTGCAAACGGATTCAGCCTTAAGTGAGTCTTCTCAAGAGTCTCAAGAGTCTCAAGAATCAGAAAAAGTGATCAATGGGCTTCGAGGGTCGCTGTTCGTCGTCATCATTGTCGAGTGGACGTGTCGTTTTTTGCTTGGGGTTTGGTATTCCATAGTGAGTCAGTATTGACTTGTCATCCGAGCTCCCAAACCCCCCACGGAGTATCAGAAGGACAATGCTAAAAACAGGCGGCATTCAAGCCTGCAGCGCCCAGGATACCCAGGTGATGTACTCAAGCAGCAGAATAATCAAAAAGTAACCATTCCACCAGGTTGGCCCATGACATAGGACTCTAGGCAAATTATTCAATTGGACTTATACAATCCAAATGCAAATATATGGTCATTAAGCCAAGATAACTGACAAAACAATGAAATAGCTTTTACATTTTGTGCAGCAAAATATACATGCACAGGGCTTAGCATGACCAGCCGATTGATAGAATCGGGCCCATTCTACCAATAAAAGTGGTGTGTTGGGCAACAGGAACACCTGGTCCTGGTTCGTATGCCCTCAACCACCAGACTTCCATCCTCCACCGACACAGGGGCGCAACCCACGACAAACAGGTTGCCCAATTCGGTTGCCTGGTATGACCAGCAATGGGGCACTGTTGACCTATTTGATCCCTGGTCCCAACTGGGATGAAGGGCTAATAGCGTTACCCAGCACCCACCACGAGGAGGTTGCTCTTCAAGGGTACCTAAAGATTAAAGAAAAGAGTGCACTCCACAAGAACATTATCCCAACTCCAAATGGGAAACACTTGTCAGAGGTGTATCTTAAGAAGACGAAACTGAACATGCTGAGGTTGATTTCGGATGATTCGGATGAATTCCAAAGTTTCAGAGTGTGGCTATAGTCTTTGTGTCATATATATAGACAGGCTGGATGTATCAGATACAATAAACTATCTTGATCCTGAACAGAGTTACCGACTGCTATCACATAACTGGAATCCCGAAAAGTGCATGAAGTCTGTTTCATTTAATAATGATGGCAGTATGTGCATAATTGCAATTTTTCTTGCCTCACACATAAATGTCGTTTTCTGATTGGCTGAGCACTAATCCATTATATTCAATGTACCCCGCCTACAAGCGAGTAACAGTTTCTATGTACCTCGCTGGGGAAGCCGAACTCATTTGGTACTTCGTAGTAGTAATTCTTTATCTCAAATAACATTGAATCACGTATGATCTACGAAAATTACCGATGTTTTGCGAATGCAAATCAATGGAAGGGAGATAACTCTAAATTTGTTTTTCTTGTCGTCTTGTCCTTCATACTATGATCTGATTCCTGTGCTTCAAACAGTTAAAAATTACCATTGAGTTGTTTGGTGAGATAAATACGTTCTTCACTGGTCCCTCAGGTTGTTGATGTACCCTCGATGTTTCTTTATGTTCTTTAGGAACATAAACAAACATCGAGGGTACATCAACCCATGTCCCCCTCGAGACCAGTGAACAACTTATAATATCTCACCTACAATCTTTTTTCTGTACATAGTACACATTAATTACCAGCAGATTCAAATAACTTTCTGCCACATCCATTACCTGGGTTTGAAATTGAAAATCTCTTGCAGCAAAACCTCTACCTTTTTCTGCAGTGTTGCCACATGCAGAGTTACAAATTGTCACACATATTTCCTCTCGAACAACGTATTAATGGGTCACGTTTCTACCATAAACTGGAACATGTGTTTGTCATTTTCAATCTACTCTTGCATTCAAAGATGATGTTTGTGATTTAAGGTTAGAGGAATGAGGAGCACATTTAGATATCACAAATATTTTTCACTGGGATTGATAAATTGCGGGACCTTATTTCTGCCACTGACAATGCGGACTCTTCTGTGCATGATATTAAATGTTGCGTACATGCTGCAGATAGATGGGTCAATCTGCTAAGACAAAGGATCGAAAACTGTAAATAAACAAAGTCATCCAAAGACAAACCAAATGAACCTAAATAAGAAAACAATAGACGTTTAGAATTATGTCCCTAGGGCACGCAATGACCAAACATCAACTGTTGATTGGGGAAATATGGAAAACGAAAATACAGAAACTCTAGAAAACTACAAAAGTCAGATTTTTTATTCGTTGTAGGCAAAGTTAAGGATTTGGACAGAATCGAAATGGAGTGAGTGAGTTTAGTTTTATGCTGCCCTCAGCAATATTCAAGCTATATGGCGGCGGTATCTAAATAATCAAGTCTGGACCAGACAATCCAGTGTTCAACATCATGAGCATCGATCTACGCAATTGGGATACAATGACATGTGTCAACCAAGTCAGCGAGCCTGACCACCCGATCCTTTAAGTCAACACTTACGAAAGGCATTGGTTACTGAAGACCAATTCTAACCCGGATCGTCATTGGCTGAATAGAAAAGGAAACAGACAAGTGGGACTCGAATTTATTTGTTTGTTTTGGGTTTTTTTTGTTAAACAAAATAAATACTTTTAGGACTCAAAATGAGTTATTCTATTAATTTGTCTATTTCTGTATACATCCTCGGCATCTAGTGGAAATCTTGTTCTAATTTGTAATAACATATTCATGTAACGTTGATCACTATTTTTAAAAGAATAATTAACACTGTTTCTAAAAAAATGTAAATCATTTCAACAATGACAGAAAAATACTTTTAATGCTCTTATTGTGTAATGTAGAAGGGTTACATGTCTTTACTGGCGCAAAATACTTTCTGGAATTGATATAGTAATATCTTACATATATGTTTTCAAACGATAAAATTATATTTCCTTACACCATTTATTAGGTTTGTCACAAATTAGAAACAGATTGAATATTTTGTTTTAAAAGTAGCAAGCTCAACAGGCCTACCTTGGCGGTGTTGTTTTTGGTTTCACTTACATTACAAGGGATTGTGTGGTTAAGCTCCATAAGGGCATTGTTGTAGCCGAGTGGGTAGAGAGTTTGCTTGTGTAGATTAAGTTTTCCTTTCAGACATGTATGATATATGTACATGGCATGGAATGGAACACGAGTCACAGTACAAACAACGGTGTCATGGCACAGCAAGATCTCCATAACAGGACATATTTCTGATATATTTGCATATGTTGTCTCTTGATATAATTTATAAAAACACATTGTTATAAAATGAACGTGATGTCTATTGTTAAACGTTTAGAAATTGTAACACGAACTGGGAGGAGCATTGTGTTGAGTCTGTGAAAGCTGTACTTCTCGACTCTTATCTTGGGGCGGTGGGGTAGCCTTGTGATTAAAGCATACGAATGGTACAATGTATGAAGCCCATTTCTGGTGTCCGCTGCCGTGATATTGCTGGAATATTGCTAAAAGCGGCGTACAAATAAACTCATTCACTCACTATTCTTATCTGAAAAATGTTTCAAAGATTACTTGAGGAATGCTACACCTGTGACTGTCACATGCAGATTTCAGCAAACAGTTAAAAGCCCAAGCTGGTGATAAGAAGTATCATACTTTCACTGCAGAATGTTGTTATTGCTTCTGTGCTCCGTGTTGTGTGGGGCAGCGTTGGCTGACACAACCGTCACAATCTACAACGAGTGGCTCTCCCAGGGTGGACGTGTCAATTATGAAGTTGAACGATGGAACAACGTTAATGGACTCACCCAATTCTACCTTGTTCCAAATATGAAATCTATCGGAGCTGTTCCTGGGCGTTGGGTGAACAGAGACCTGAGAAAAGATCTCTTTGCAAATGTACGTATGAAGTAAAGCCATCTTCAATGCAAAAAGGATTTTGGACTTGATGTGATATGATTCGTACATGATTTGTATGCCTACCGAATCAGTATATTGTAAGGAGCATTATTTCTGTCTTAAATTCAGAATGAGACATATGGAATGTATGAGCTGGTGTATCTGTATATTTCACGGTGCAGTTCAGTGCTCATAATCCAAAGACGTCCATGCCAGCGTTATTTATTATATATGTTTAAAATAGCCAAGTCTGTTTTAACTGCTAACAACGTAATTATTTGTGGAAACCTCCTCTGAACGAGTCTGGCCGCCATGACTGTCAGCTCAGATGGGTCAATGCAGATGAATTCCTTGGAAAGGAGTTAAGGACAGTATCTGAATAAGTGCTGTTAAAAAAATAACCGTCTTTTTCTGAACATTTAAGATATATAACAAAGGAATAATTTGTCAATGGAAAATCGAAAATGATTACCTGTGTGCTGCCTATTTTGCGTTGGTGTGGTACAGCTGATCTCAAGTGCAAATCCGATCTAAGCCACATCACATCACATGGTCAAAGAGTCTGCCATGAAATCACTTTTTCTGTTGATTCGTGGGGCGGTGGGGTAGCCTAATGGTTAAAGCGTTCGCTCGTCACGCCGAAGACCCGGGTTCGATTCCCCACATGGGTACAATGTGTGAAGCTCATTTCTGGTGTCCCCCGCCTTGATATTGCTGGAATATTGCTAAAAGCGGCGTAAAACCGAACTCACTCACTCACTCTGTTGATTCGCTTACAATGTCAATGACATGTCGAAACTTTTCAGAGTTTATTGTCTTTCAACGGCAGCAAACTCATTTAAAGTGATGCTGTACAAGACGTAAGTGTTTATCCTCTAATTCTTCATAGAGACAACCCATCACTTTACTACCATATTGATATATTTTATTCAGTGGACTGAAAGCCCAAGTCACCATGGTTATCCGGATCCCACCTATCTCCAGGACCATTCTCTCCAGAGAAGGACATTTCTAACATATCTGCGACAATTGCAAAACTACGGGCCTCACACCACAAACATGGTGTGGGAAATGAAAGGTTTGAAAAGTCACATAATCATTTTATAAGTTTATAAACATATTTTTTACGCTTTTGTTTCAGTCATAACTGAAGACAGGAAAGGTGTCAAACGTATTTCACTGTGTTTAAAGTTGAACTGAGAATATTCACATTTCACTGGTCGGTATTGGGAGTCCCACTCTGGTCTTTAAGTGTGTGAATAAGTTAAGATTTTAAGTCACATCGGCAATATTTCAGCCACATCGTGACTAGATCATGTAATAGATTTATAATAACTAAAAGTAAATTCTAAACTAGTAATTAAATCTAAAATACCTTAACTATAGAAGACGATACAACATAAAACCGTCCTGTAGGTCGCCAACAACTAAAGGTAGATCACCATACTAGGGACCGTAGGGACCAGTACTTTTGCTACCTATCTGATCTGTAATGTTACCGACAGTTGAAATGCAACGGGACTTAATACTCCACAGTTTTTATTTTTTTTATTTATAAATTTACAACTTTCCTAGTCACGATATGGCTGAAACACTGCCGATGTGACTTTAAATTTTAACTGACTCACTCACTAATACATCCACAGTCATTTGCGTTTCATAACTGAACACCCGATAAATATGCTGGAAATGAAAATTTCATTTGCAATATATTTTGCATCCCTTCAGGTTTGGCCTGGCCGGGCTGGATAGATAAGTCTCAGCATAAAGATGTATTCCCAAACAATGTTGACGCTGCATCCGAGTTTGTGTCACTGATGGTTCAGGCTTGCAAGGACTACACAGCAGGACGCCTTCCTTACATATTTGAAGTAATCAATGAACCTGACTGGGATGAAAAGTATATTGATCCACCAACGAATATAAATTACCACAGGGCTGTCGCCGACAAACTGAAATCAAGATTTGGAATGAAAGTTGCCGGACCATCCTACACGAGTGAAGCCTTACGACTAGCAGATGAAAATAACTTTAGCTTCTGGAAGAGAACTGCTAACTTTATGGACATGTCTCTTGATCACTTGGACTTTTTCTCTTTTCATTCCTACAACCATATGTTCAATACGTCTAGTAAATCCTACTATGGCATCAATGAAGATCGTCTGTTTGCTTCCCTTGACATGGTAGAGAATTACTCTCATATCAAGAAAGGAAAAAGTGTTCAATTAGTCAACACTGAATTTGGAGTAGGCTTACTTTCCCTGGGTGTGGCGTACGATTTTGAAAATCCACTGATAGACTTTGAGACAATTTATCAGGCGAACGGTTTCATGTTTTCTTTCCTTAACCTGAGAGAGTTCATGGACAGAGCTACAATATATCTCCTCGCAAATGAGCAATACCCAGGTCATACTTCCCTTCGGAATTCCTTATTTACAACTGATGGTCATAGCCTTGAGCCTGCCAAATTCTTCCTGTTCTGGAAAAACTTTATTGATGATCAAAAGTTTCTCCGGGTTTCTAGTCAACACGATGGACAGGAGAAAATAGTGTCACCACTTGCTCTTGCAAACCCCCACAACAAAGAGATGGTAGTTCTTCTCCACAACTTTGGCAACAAATTTGAGAACGTAAAACTGGACTTTCCAAACAACTGGCTCAACCCTTCTACAGGTGAACAGACATGTATTCTGTTCGAAAAGGGTAAGCCAGCTGTTCATCCCAATACCCATTTCGACATATCTAAGCTTAATGGCACCGTCGGTCTGCCTGGATCATCAACATGCTTCTACAAATTTCAAACCAACTACATCTTTAACAGATTACACACAGATAATCAGAATACATACTATGGCAAGGAAATGCTCGTCCCCATTAGCAATGGACGTGCGAAGACAACCATCAGTGTACCGAGCTCTGGCTACCATGAGGCTCATCTTAGAGTTGGAATTAGCCGTGGCATGAGAGACAATACAAAACCTAAGGCAGTTGTGTTCAATGGTCGCACTTTGTCTCCAAGCTACATGCTGTTTGATTCCATGAAGAATGCAAAAAGGAGGACTACAACATGGAACGTATGGGAGTTCTTGGTACCTGAAACACTGATAAAAACAACCAACACCGTCAGCATGACCTTTGATGGGGACGGTGGCAACGTGACATCCGTTGCACTTGTTGCAGGAAAACTGCAGTGAATAAATTCTCCAGAAAAATACTTCGTTTGTGTTGATTCATTTCCCACATGATAAGCAACAAATTGGTGACAGGGTAGTAGAGGATACAGACCCTGACTTGTTTGATATTTGTTTTCGATCTTTTGAAGCTACATTTTCCCATCCATTCTGAACATTCATAAGTTCATCTGACTTGTTGTAAATGTAATAGCAACACATACATATATACACATACACATATACATACATACATACATACATACATACATATATACATACATATACATACATGCATACATACATACACACACATGCATACACACATACATACATGCATACACACATAGAATACATATATATATATATACATACACATACAGATACACACGCACACACACATGCACATATACATGTATGTATATATATAATTTTATAATGTATTCAATTTTCAGGAATTAGTGTAGAGGATTTCTAAACAGTAAATTGAAAGAAGACCAGAAAGCATGAAAGCTTGCAAAGTTACAATTTGAATATGCAATAAACCTTGAGGTTTCGTAATATCTTACTGTTTCTTTTTGAAAGGTTATAAAGCTTGGTTTAGTCATTTTTTTCCTATTAAATGTATAAAGGAGAGGTTTTGTTATCATGATAACAACATTCAACGGATTATTATGTTTACCCTTTAAACAATATATGCTCTTCACTAAAGGTGATTCTGCCCTCTGTATAATTTCCAATCCATTCTAGTAGCTTTTCCCATATATCAACAGAATATAAACATTTACATAAGATATGTGAAATTGTTTCATTTGGTTCGTTACATAAGGTACAAGCTGCAAATGGTACATAACCAATCTTAAATAAATAACTATTTGTACACAGCATATTGTGTAGAACCTTCAACTTAAACCATCTTAATTCACTACTCGGGGTACATCTTTTTACCATCATATTATAGTTTATCCATTCTGTATCAGTCAATGTTTTCCTAAGGTAGCTTTCCCACTTTCTGTACGTCTTAAGTTTTGTAAAATTAGGCTCATGCAAGATTTTATAAAGTACCTTACATCCAGATTTATTATGTATTTTGGCAATATTGGTCCTTGAGGAATTTTCACTAAATGATTCCTATTAATATTTTGTAAATAACTCAACATAGCTTGTTTTATTGCTCGATAAGTCACGAAATTGGTTCTAATTCTATATTTTAACGAATTCATCAAATATATCAAATATATTTTACCATGTTCATTAATAAAATCATTCAGAAATGTTATACCCTTTTTATGCCACTGTGCAATATATATGGGCTTACCATCATTTTTTATGGAATTGTTATACCAAACTGATTTGCTCATAATGTCTTCAATAGGTATTTCTTTAGTGTCAACACAGTTCAGATATAAGTTCCATAATAGCAGTTTCTCGTTCCAAAAGGTGTTATGAATATTTGGAGCAATATGTTCATAGATATATGAACTATCAGCCAAAGTCATGACATTTGTATTCACTGCAGTTTCAAAAAATATGATTGCCCACTTTGGTTTACTAGTAAATAATCTTTTAACCATCCTAATTTCTGATCTGCAATTACTTTTTCTACAACAGGTACACTAATGCCACAATTAGTGTAGTGCCATTACCTCCCTCTTGATCTTGTCTGGTTTGAACTTCCAGATGAATTGAAAACATTTTTTCTGAAAATTTCTATTATATGTTTTGGTGGAGTAGGTATACTGCTGAAACGATGATTAAGCTTGGTGTTTTAGTAAATAGGCTTGCAACCCCCTTTTTCAGTGTCACAAGAGGTTTTCTTTTTTACGTGTAGATGAAAAAAAGTATTGACGCTCCTCTTATGTTTAACAGTAACATTTCCCATAGTAATTGATCATTAAGTGTAAACACTCTTTCATCTTCTATAGTTTTGTCTTGATATTGTTCCAGGGTATCGCTTATTATTTTTTTTATAATTTCCACATATTTCGTATCCTTTAACAGCCAATTATTGAACTTCTAGAAGCCTTTCCCTTTTTGTATATCTGAAAACATAATTGTGAGTGGCACTATCGAGTGATCTGAATTGATACTTGGTTCCTCTACGGAATTGAGAACATTATGGGAAACTAAGAAATAGTCTAATCGAGCTTGCTTTAGTGGTGTTGGTTGTGGCCAGGTGAACCTTCTTGTAGAAGGATGCAATTCTCGCCATGGGTATTTGAGATCTATGAAATCTATTGTCTCTAACAATTCCTGGCCTGATTTAGGGTTATTTATATGTCTAAAGTTGAAGGTATCATTATCAGGATAAATCAACAATTCCAATCACCACATATAACAATATTTTCACCTGTTAATTATTCTGCTATTTCTCTAATGTTTCTTATGAATTCTGGTTTATCGGAATTTGGCCCAAAGTATATATCTTATCATTGATAATCACATCCAATGCTACATAGTTGCCATCATCTTTGTCAGTTATTATTTGCATGACCTTACATTGAAACTTATTGTTAAATAAAATTGCTGCCCCCCTTGCATTCTTTTAAATGAACTTATGTACCATTCACTATACCCCATTGTTGTTTTATTAGTTGTTCCTGATCAGCTGTAAAATGAACATCTTGTAAACAATAGATTTGAGCCTTTTTTTCTCAAGAATCTGAAAAATTGTTTCCTTTTAAAGTTATTATTTAAGCCTCTACAATTCAGCGATAATATTTCAAATGCTCCTTTGCATCATCTGTCATTGCAGAAATTCATTCCTAGGTGATATGGCTGTATCCTCAAAGGGGGTTGAAATAGCGTAAAATCATTGTCCTCCCGAGAGGGTACCTAAGTGCCCAAAACTTTCAAAGTACAATTTTCACGTACCAAGTTTTTAAACGTAGTATTTTTGTTCTTTTAAATTTCGGCTAAATTATCCTACAATCGCCAGCGGCTGAAGGAATGGTGTAAATCCAGCTAGGCTCCATGCAGGTAGCAAAAGTAATGTAAGTCCCCATGGTTCCTCGTATGGTGATCTACCTTCAGTTATTGGCGATCTATAGCCTGTTTTTATATTGTATTGTCCAAATAGTGCTATAAGTTTTAACTTTCACGCTCGTTTTAATTCTAATTGTGATATTCTAGTTGTTTTACTGTCCTTCGCCGACAGGTTTTTATAATATACATATATTCCATTTCAATGTCAAATATGTTCTCGTCACGATATGGCCGAAACATTGCCGATGAGATGTGAGGTGAGGTGAGGTGAGGTGAAATTGGGTTTAACGTCGTGCTTGAGAATATTTCGCTCATATGACGACGTCCGATGTGATGTAAAATCTTAACTCACTCACTTTTAGGTGCTATATTGTAAATGTAATGTCTGTTAGAACATTGATTGTGTCTAATGGAAAATTTAGCTTTTATCAAGTAAGAACAAGCAAACTAAACGAAGTATAAAACATAAATGCTTCCGTTTATTCCAAACCGAAACCGCTCTCATTAACAGACAATATTACATTGAAGACACAATGCCATATGTGCCAAGGTCCAGTGCATACCGAGACACCATCTTGCTCAAACATTGTCAAATAACATTTTGCCATAATGTTTACTTGATGTCTCATGACAAAACTGGTCATTCAAACAAAATCTTACTTACATATTTACAATGCATAAGTAGCGATTTGCTGCCTCAAGCGTCACTCACAGTGACTTGATTGATGTGTCATCCTATTGTCTGTCGTACTGTATTGTGGCAATGTGACATTCGTTGCACTCGTTGCAGGAAAACGTCAGTGAATAAATTCTCCAGACGAATACTCTGCTTTGATTCATATGACGAATGGTATGAATCGGAAAAGGTGACAAGTTGTCAAATATTACAGATCGAATATGATACAGTTATGTTCGTTATGCACAAAGCTTAACTATTTAAGGAAAACAACACTGTGTCCATTACACAGAGCGATGTTTTGATGTAGATTATGACACCGTTATCAAGCCAAGCGTGATCACTGCCATTATGATAAGATATATTCCAATATTTATTCAGTGCAATACTGCTTTCCGTTTAACGCCAAACTCATCCTGTCACCTGTGCATAATATGGCCTGGACCAGACAAATCCCTTAAGGACAAAGTAGCCACGGCTCACACCGAAACACACATAATAACCAAGCCAATCAATTTTGACCAATATAGCTTTCTCGGAACTACGCGTATGTTCAGTTAATTCGAACAGTATGTTTCGTGAGTGCTCTGCCAGATGTACCTTTACTTTACATTAGGAAACTAATATACCTGTATATTGTTGATATGGACTGTGGTATTGAACTGTCGTGCATATGTGTTACCTGGCAGGTGGAAACTAAATGTGGTCCTTAGTGACCCAAAATACTATATGTCTTAACCTTGTCCCCATGAGCCACGTCTTCGTTAAAAATAGTTGATTAAGTGATACTATCTTAGACAAATACTTTCTTCGAGGCCCTTGTCAGTGGGAACAGCTATACGCTTCTCGTGTAGGGCAAGTTGGCACCTGGTTTGGAAGTGTATATGTTTCTGCCAATATTGTTTTCTCTCTCGTGCACACTGGCTTGATCCATTCTATAACACAATGAGCAGATTCTTCTTCATTCCCTATTTTTGATCTTGAAGATCTCTTTCACGAAACCAGACAGTTGTGGATCAAATGCAGTTCAATCAGTTCTCTATTCAGATGTGAAGGCATTCAATTGACCCTAGTAGGTGTAATGAGAATCGATACGTTTCATAGCCAATATTATATAGGTGAGATACTATGCGTATCCCGATACAGTACCTTTCCTTCATAAGTTCACCATTGTGAAAGTGAATCACAACCCTGATTCTTTGAGTTTTTATTTTATTAGACAGAAAATATTGCATAACTTGTTCTTGAATTTGTTTTGTTATCCTTCACATGTTTTAACACATATGTAATACTAGTACCCCAAAATTACAATATGACTACTAACTTAATTAACTCTTGGCGATCCGGGTTAGGATTGATCTTCAGTAACCCATGTTTGTCG